TACTGGGCTGAATTGTGTCCTCCTCAAATTCCTACATAAGTACCAGAATTAGTGCAGAACGTCCAAGTTAAGGGCTTATTCCCGCAAGACTACCTCCACTTCAGATGCCAGCCATGAGTGGGGTGCCCAGGCTACCTGCGTTTCTGCCTGGTTGACTACAAATTCAGAGATTCTCATGTACCCTTCAGGTTCAGTTATTTGTTAGAACAACTCACAGAACTCAGGAAAGCACTTATGATTATTAGTTTATTATGATGGATACAACTCAGGAACAATCAAATGGAAGAGTTCTATAGAGCAAGGGATGGAAGAGTACAGAGTTTCCTTCCATGCCCTCTCTGGGTGTGCCGCCCTCCCAACACAGTGTGTTCGCTAAACCAGAAGCTCCCTAACCCTGCCATTGTGGGGTTTCTATGGCAGTTCCATAACATGGGCATGATTGATTAAATCATTGGGCATTGGTGATTAACTCAGTCTGTAGCCCCTGTCCCCTCCCTAGAGATCTGGGGGTTGGCCTGAAAGTTCTAACCTTCTAATAATATGCTTGGCTTTAAATTCTAGCCCCATCCTGGTGGGGCTCCAGGGAATGTGGTTGTGCGTGTTGACACATGTGCCTTTCAGAGAATTCTTCTTTATCCTGGTGAGCGGCTTAGTGCCTGTGTCTGACCCATGACCAGGTGTTTCTCTCCCAGGAAACCTGTTTATTCTGGCAGACACCCTTGTGGCTCTTGTCTGACCTGGGTACAGCTTGTTCCTACCAAGATAGCCACTCTCTAGGAGAGCCCTGACTGGGAGAGAAGTTAGGTTTGGGTGTGTGGGGCAAGTGAGATGCAGAGGAGGCAACTCAACAGAACACAGGAAGTCACAGAGGCAGCACATTCCTTACAGGTCCAGATGGAGGAGGGCAGCACACCTCGCAGGGACAATGGGATGCAGAGAGCTGTCCACGACATACACGCTCAGCCAGTGAGTGGGGACAGAGAGAGGCATGGGGGGACGGAGCTGTGGGGTGAAGTCTTTTCATGGAGAGTTTTAACTGATGGGTTTAGAGCAAGCAGGCGCAAGTTCCATGGAGTCACGCTGTGACTGGAAGGTGGTCACTGCGGCATATCTGCTCAGTCCACGAGGGGTGTGGGGATCAGAGGGGCGAGTCAAGTAGGTTGTGTCTAGCTGTCCCCTAGGGAGATGGTCACCAGTAGGTGGTTGTATAAGGCTGATATCTGAGTCAACCACATTGAGGAACAGGGAGGAGGTGGAGAACTGGAGACTGTGTCAAGGGTGACTGAGTCCTGCTTCTTGTACAAGAAAGTCCAACTTATATTCAAAGTGGATGCTAAAGCAACATAAAATTCCAGGAATTCACTACACAGGGGACAAACAGTGCTTCCTTGGTTGGGTGCCTGTTGTGTCCAGATTTTCCCCTGCTGCATCTGCATGGTATCTGTTCTCTGGGTGAGAGAGCCAATTCTTTGGCCAGCAGGGATGAAGAGCATTTCCTGGCTGAGTGCTTGTTGTGTGGGGATCCCCCTGCCATCCTCCCTGACCACCAGGTGACTTGAAGTGGAGAGGGAGTGTCTAGATAGGGGAAGGAAGTCTCAGGCTCAGTGGAGAAGAAGAGCACTTCCGGTGGCTGCTTATTGTCAGCAAGGCTCCAGATTAATCTCCTTTGCTGGTGTCACAGGCTTGTCTGGTGTTGTTGGAAGGACTCCTGCTGATTTGGGAGAAGACAGAGACTACCTAGGCTGTGTTCTGTTGCTAGGTTGGGGGTTTAGAGACACAGGCCTGGGTTGCCTTCCGTTGTTGGGGTGAGGGGATCATAAGATGTCCTGCCACTGTTTAAGTCCTTGGGTCTCTAACATGTGTGCTTTCCTCTTTCCTCCTTTCAGAGTCCTCTTATGGTTGTCTCTTGCATTACTTTCAGAATTTATAGTTGTACTTCATGGGGAAGAGCAGGGAAAGAGGAGTCTTTGCCATCATGTCAGGACTAGAAGTCTACCATTTCTATCTAATATCCATTTCTTTGAAACAAGGAAGGCTTGTAAGTATACAGTTTGCCATCTTGTGGTTTTCACTCAGTGTGGTAATTTAACAAATACTCATCAAATGAATAATCAAAGTGTGGTCACCTTTTCCTTCTTAACAGTTGCACAAGATTATTGTATTAGTCATTTCAGGCTGCAATTACGAAATACCAGAGATTGGGTGGTTTAAACAACAGAAATCTGTGTTCTTACAGCTGTGGAGGCTGGAAGTCCAGGATCAAGGCACCAGTAGGGTTGGCTTCTGGTGAGGCTGCTCTTCCTGACTTGCTGAGGGCTGTCTTCTCGCTGTGGCCTCACATGGCCTTTCTTCTTTGGGTGCAGGGAGAGAGAGAGGGAGCTCTGGTGTCTTTTTCTCTTCTTATAAGGACACCAGTCCTCTTGGATGAGGAACCTACCCTTATGGCCTTATTTAACCTTAATTACCTCCTTAAAGGCTCTCCCTCTACATATAGTCACATTGGGGGTTAGGATTTCAACATACAGATTTTGGGGGGACATAATTCAACCCATAACAATTATAATTCAAGCATAAACCATCATTTTTCTTTTGTTCCCTTATTGATAGAATTTTGAGTTGCTTCCATTTTTGTTTTAACAAAGAGAGTTAGGAAGGGAATGAATGTGTATGTCTGTATTCTTGTGGAGACATTTCTGTAGGATAGATTCCTATAACTGGAATTTCTGAAATAAAGAAATTGTTTTAATTTTTAAGAGGACTTGCCAAATTATCTTCTAAAAAGGCCTAACAAGGTCATGCTGTCACTAAGAGTGCAACAGAATGCTTGTTTCTGAATATTTTCCCCACAAGCATGTATTATCAGTGTTTTTATACCTTGCCAATCATATAATTGATGGATGATTGCTCACTTTCATTTATTAATGAGCCTGACCAAATTTCCACATGTGCTAGCCATTTCCTGTAGAGAAGTTGCGAGAATAGTTCAATGAATAATTGTATAGCTTTTATCTAGATTCATCAGTTTTTGACCTTTTCCCACATTTATTTTTACTTTATTTCTGTATACATATGCGTATGTGTGTGTCTGCATACACACATATGTATGCATTTATTTTGGGGGTGACAGTTTGATAGTTAATGGTAGACGCAATAGCATAATGACAGCTTACTCCTGCTAGCCACTTCAGATAGTCTTTATGTTAGTCATCACTGTGCAGACCCTAGTGGGGCTGTATGTTGAGCCCTGTACAACCTAGTACCTGTCCATTAATTTTTTAGTGAGAAGCCCATCAGTCTCTTATTTTGAGACCCTGTTATTGAGTAACCAGACCCAGATTTTTGGAGGAAGGCTGTTGCCCAGATTATTTAGGGAAGGGTACCTGATTTGTATTTTTATGGATATTGTAGATATCAACAAAAATATATTTGTAGACGTTGGTGATTAATTTTTATTATTTTGTCAGTAGCTGTTTTTTTAAATGCCTGAGAATTTGTCAGCTATGATTCGGATTTTGTTGTGGACTAATTGACCTGACCTCCTGATGAACGCTACTCTGGCTCAATAATCAGCAGGAGTGGCATAAACAAACCTAAAAAATCTGAATTAATGATCATCATTCTCCAATGAAGGTGCCTGGCCTAGGAATACAGATATTTGTAAGAGTGGGGCTGGCCAGAGGGGCCTGAGTCCTGGACTGTAAGTCTCTTTAGAGACTATAATGTCTTGGCTATATATTCCAAGTCTGATGTAGGGGCAGATTTCTCCTACAAAGCCTGACAGCTGAAGTCTTTGTAATTGTCATTGGTCAGGCCTTTTTCACACATAGAGTTTTAGCCAGGAGCTGGACTCCTCAATTTCCTAAGAGCAAGGACATTCTCCTATATCATTAAATTACACTGAACACACTCAGAAAGTTAACATTGATATAATACTATTATGCAGTATATATTCTTTATATTTTAATCTGGAAGACTTCCTCAGCATTTCTTCGTTTTTTATGTCTGTGACATTTTTAAAGCACATAGGCCATCCATATTGCAGAATGTCCCTCACTTTGGATTTGTCTGATGTTTCCTCATGGTTTGATTGAGTTCGTGCATTTCTGGCAGGAAAACAGTATAAGTGATGTGTCCTTGTTGTATCACATCAGGGGCAAATGATGTCAATTTGTCGTCGTCTTTTTTTTTTTTTTTTTTGAGACAGAGTCTCACTCTGTTGCCTAGGCTGCAGTGCAGTGGCGCCATCTCGACTCACTGTGACCTCCGCCTCCCGGGTTCAAGAGATTCTTGCGCCTTAGCCTCTCAAGTAACTGGGATTACAGGTGTGCGCCACTGCGCCTGGTTAATTTTTGTAATTTTAGTAGAGGTGGGGTTTCACTATGTTGGCCAGGCTGGTCTTGAACTCCTGGCCTCAAGTGATCTGCCCATCTCGGTCTCCCAAAGTGCTGGGATTACAGGTGTGAGGCCACCACACCCAGCCCAATTTGTCTCATTTTTGATGATATTAACTTTGATCACTTGTTTCTGTCACTAGCCATGTTTCTCTGCTGTAACATTACTATTTTTCCTTTGTAATTAATAACTAATGTGTGGATGATACTTTGAGGCTACATAATTGTCCCATTTTTCATCAAACTTTTCACCTATTAGTATTAATATCCATTGATGAATCTTGCCTGAATCAGTTATTGTGATGGGTACCAAATGACAATTTTCTAACTCTTATTATTTCTTCTGTATTTATTGTCATTTTACTATGAGGCAAACCTTCTTTATCTCCTTTATTTATAATCAGGAATAGAAAATTTTTATTTTTATGGGTTTTTATTTTATTCAATGAATATTACTGTCATTATTTCTATGCTCAGTTGTCCCTGAGTTGGCCTGTGAGAGTCCCTTTAAGCTGGCTTTTGTGTCCTTTTGACACATCCCTATAATTTTTTGAACATTTTCTTTAGAAAAAAAAAATTATAAAGAAAAGAGGTTTATTTGGCTCACAGTCCTGCAAGTTGTACAAGAAGCATGATACCAGCATCTGCATCTGGTGAGGCCTCAGGAAGCTTCTACTCATGGCAGAAGGCAAAGAGGGAACAGGTATGTCACATGGCAAGAGTGGGAGCACGAGTCGGGGAGGGAGGCACCAGACTCTTTAACAACCGGATCTTGTCTGAACAAATAGAGTGAAAAGTCACTCATCACCAAAGGAATGGCACCAAGCCATTCATGAGGGATCCATCCCCATTACCCAAGCACCTCCCACCGTGCCCTCCCTTTAACACTGGGGATCACATTTTTTTTTTTTTTTTTTGAGACAGTCTCTCACTCTGTTGCCCAGGCTGGAGTGCAGTGGCGCGATCTCGGCTCACTGCAACCTCCACCTCCTGAGTTCAAGCAATTCTCATGCCTCAGCCTCCCGAGTAGCTGGGATTACAGGTATACACCACCACTGCCAGCTAATTTTTGTATTTTTAGTAGAGATGAGGTTTCACCATGTTGGCCAGGCTGGTCTCAAACTCCTGACCTCAAATCATCCACCCACTTTGGCCTCCCAAAGTGCTGAGATTACAGGCATGAGTCACCACATCCAACCGGGATCACATTTTAACATAAGATTTGGAGGGAGAGATAGCCAAACTATATCAGTCCTAAAAGTGGAATTTTAAGGCTTTGGTAGGTTTGGTCCATTTCTGAGCTCTGAGCGTTTTCTTATTTTCTGGCACAAGATGTTCCAGCCTTCATCTTTAACTTTACTTGCCCTAGCCCTGGAATCAGCCATTTCTCCAAGGAGCTCTGGTTCCTGTTAATGGATAATTATATTTAGAAACCAAAATCTGGGTGCTAGCTGTGCTCATTACTGCTGGGGCATCGTTACTTCTAGGCCCTTTCAGTGAACAGAGATGTGTGTATGGACATATATATCTACATCTATATGTCTACATCTGTATGTGTACACACATACACCACACACACATACATACATATTTTGAGTTCATATAGCATCCTGGGAATCTTAGTCATTCCTCATTGCATATTTGCATCTCCCTTCTTTAACAGTGAGAGCACTGGTTCCTAGCATCAATAATTCACTCATTTGTTCAGTCTACAGTATACATAAAGTAGAGTCAGAATTGCTGCACCCACATCACTGTGGAAAACCAACCTGCTGAATATAATACACAATTTGTTTGTATGCCTTTTATCTTTAGACTAAGGATAATGTCAGGATTTCAACCTCTGCTTTCTTATTGTTTCCATTTATTTGTCTGGTTGACCATTGCCTATCCCTTTACTTTTAGCCTTCTTGAATCACTTCGTTTTAGTTGTATTTCTTGTATACAACATACAGCTGGATCTTGCTTGTGAGTCAATCTGGAGATCTTTTTTATTAAGCCTTCTTAAGGCCTAATCACATTGATTGATTTGGCTGGTATGTTTGGTCTAAACTGACATATTGTTTTGTTTTATAATCATTATGTATATTATGTTGCAATGACTTCTGTATTAGTCAAGGTTCTCTCGAAGGACAGAACTAATAGGATAGATGAATATATGAGGGGGGTTTTATTAAGGAGTATTGACTCATACGATCACAAGATGAAGTCCCACAGTAGGTTTTCTGCAAGCTGAGGAGCAAGGAGCCAGTCTGAGTCCCAAAACCTCAAAAATAGGGAAGCCGACAGTGCAGCCTTCAGTCTGTGGCCAAAGACCCTGGCAAACTACTGGTGTAAGTCTAAGAGTCCAAAAGCTGAAGAACTTGAGGGCAGGAAGCATCTAGCATGGGAGAAAGATGAAGGCCGGAAGACTCAGCAAGCCAGCTCCTCCCACCTTCTTTTGCCCTTTATTTTAGCTGCCCTGGTGCCCACCCAGACTGAGGGTGGGTCTGCCTTTCCCATTCCATTGACTCAAATGTTAATCTCCTCTGGCAACACCCTCACAGACACACCCAGGAGCAATACTTTGCATCCTTCAATCCGATCAAGTTGACATTCAATATTAACCATTATAAGTCTACCCCTTGGCAACTTAAAACTGTACACATCTCCTGAAATCACACATAAATCTTCAAGTAAAGACAATAATAAGGTAATAATTACTTCTAACACGATACAGCTATCCCTGTCACAACTGGAAGCACACTAATTCTTAGCCTAAATGCTGTTACATAAAGTTAACAACAATTAAGTGCTGATATGAAGTCAATAAATCTTATGTCACATGATAAAGAAAAAAGGAAATAAAATGAAGATATTTTCTTAATACAGGTATAAACATGCACAGACATATTTTTAACAAAATAAGGAGGAAATCCTCATGACAATTACAGTCCTCCTTTCTGCAGCTGCTCATATGGTCATAGCTGATATTGATAACTGCCTTCTTCTATCCATTCTGTATTCCCCTTGCCTTCAGCAAACACCTCAGTGGGTTGTGGTGTTTTACCCAGTGGAATGACCCAAACCTTCTTTCCTGAAGAGTCTGGGCCATTTGTAGTCCTGCCTGGAATGGGTTGGTGTAGTTTCCCATTGACCTTAATCACAGGGCATGGTAATACTAAGAGATGCCCTGAGGGATCTCCTGTATTCCACACATACTCTTCTTTACCTCCATTGTGGAGTATTAGACTGATTTCATCTTGATGGTGTGGGTCAGTCACCCCAGCCAACACCCTTTGTAGCCTGTTGACTTACAGGTAGGAGGAGCCCAAAGTGGCCAGGTGGCAATCTTAACTTCCAGTTTAATGGAATCATTGTTGTGTCTCCTGGTGGCAGCATTCCTCCCTCTGGAACTAAGATCTCTAGGCCGGCAGAACATAATGTTGCAGGAACAGGAAGCAAAACTTTTGCTAGTGGGTCACTAGGGGTGATGGTGAATGGTGCCACTTCCACTTCCACACCTTGATTCAACTTAAGGGTTCTCAGTATACACTCAGGTTTAATAATTTGGTAGAATGACTCATAGAACTCAGGAAAGTAAATACTTATGATTACAGTTTTATTATAGCAAAAGGATACAAGTAGAACAAAGGGAGAGATGCATAGGGTGAGGTCTCAGAGGGTCCCAGCCATGAAGCTTCTGTTGTTCACCTTCATGTCACCCTCCCAACACATTGAGATGTGACAGTATGCACAGTATTGCTGACCAGGGAAGTAGTATTGTTGACAAGGAAAATATAGATGTATTTTCAGTCTTTGTAGTTTTTATTTCCCATAAATGTAATATATAAATGTAATCATGCAGTATGCAGCCTTTTGAGTCTGGCTTCTTTCACTTAGCATAATACATTTGAGGTTCATCCATGTTGTTGCACAAATCATTAGTTCTCTCATTTTTATTGCCAAGTGGTATTATATTGTATGGAGGATTCCAGGTTGTTTATCCATTCACTGGTTGGAAAGCCTTTGATATGTTTCTAGGTTTTGATAATTAAAAATGTAGCTGCTATATAAATGTTCATGTACAGGGTTTTGGGTTTACCTAAGTTTGCATTTCACTGAGGTAAATAAACATGGGAGTGGGATTACAGGGTTGTATGGTAGTATATGCTTAACTTCATAAACAACTGGAAAATCATTTTCCAAAGTAGCTGTGTGCCATTTTGCATTCCTGCCTATGATAGGAGAGGTGCAGTTGCTCTACATCCTCACCAACACTTAGTATTGTCAGTTTTTTCCCCATTCTAATAGATGTGTAATAGTATCTCATTGTGGTTTTAATTTACAGTTCCCTCATGCCTAATGATGTTGAGCATCTTTTTATGTGCTTATTTGCCATCTGTTTATCTTCCATGGTGAAGTATCTCTTTTGCCCAGTTGTTTTAATTTTGAAAGTTTTTTTTAATATATATTCTCAATACAAGTTATTTGCCAGATATTTGATTTGCAGATATTTTCTTCCATTCTGTGTCTTTTTAATCTCTTAACAAGTGTCTTTTGAATTTTGGTGTCACATCTAAGAAATACTTGTCCAACCCAAGGTTAAAAAGAATTTCTTCTTTTTTGAGTGCACAGTGAACCTGCTTCACAGCATGCAGTTCATTCATTTTCATTACTACACAGCATTCCATTGAATGATTGTGCCACAATTTACCCATTCTACTGTTGATGGACATTTGGATTTTATCTGTGATCTAGTATTAGAAATAGTGCTGCTATGAACATCCCTATATTTATTTTCTAGAGCACATGTGCCTGATTTTCCTAGAAGTAGAATTGCTGGGTCATGGTGTATGCAAACCATTAACCTTTGTAAATAATGCCAAACTGTTACCAAAGCGATTATACCAGTTTATATTCCTGCTAATAGTGTGTAAGAGTTCTCATTTCAACACAATATTATGTGACTTTAGTCTGTTCAATTATAACCTTTCTTGTGGGTATATAGTGCTGTCTCAATGTGGCTTAATTTTTCACTTACCTGATTGCTAATGGGGTTGAGTACATTATCTTATGTTCATAGATCATTTGGTTTTGCTTTTTAGTGAAGTACCTGTTCACTTCTCTTATCCATTCTTTTGTGTGTGATTTGAAGTACCTATTCACTTCTCTTATCCATTCTTTTGTGTGTGATTTTCTTACTGATTTGAAGGGGCTATTTTATATATTCTAGATACGATACCTTTCTCCCTCATGAAGATTGCCAGTAATTTCCCTATCTGTGGCTTGCCTTTTCATTGTAGTACTTTTGATCTTGTAACACTTGTCTTTTCCTTTATGAGGGGTGCTTTTCATGTTTTGTTATAGAATTATTTCCCTACTCCAAAGCTTATGAAAACATTTTCCCATATTATTTTATGGACACTTTCCTCTCACATTAGATTTACAATTTACCTGTAGCTGATTTTTATGTATGGCTAGAGGGGTTAAATTTCATTTTCTCCATATAGATATCTAATAACCCATTCACATCTATTAAAAAGGTCATCTTCTCCCTACTGCTTTACTGTGCCAACTTTGTCATAAATCAGGTGTCTATCATGTTTGGATTCCCTTTTTAGTTCCACTGGACTGTTTGTCTATCCTTGTGCTGATATGGCATTGTCTCAAATATTCTCTTACTTACCTTTTTTTTTTTTTAACCATGATTTGTGATTCTCCCACAAAGTAGATCACTAACTTGATATGAAATAGACATCCAGTATTGAGTCGTCATGATGAACCAGGAACCCAATCAGAAGTTCCCCTGCATTTTATCCTCATCACCTAGTGGTCAGCATTTTAAAATAAAAAGAATGTACCATTACAGGGGCTAGTGACATTTGAAGATGTGGCTGTGGATTTCACCCAGGAGGAGTGGCAGTACCTGAACCCGCCACAGAGGACCCTGTACAGAGACGTGATGCTGGAGACCTACAGCAACTTGGTCTTTGTGGGTAAGAATGGCTTCCTTAGGTAATTTTGCTATTTATGATTATTGCATCCAATGGAAGGCATTTCCTTTCTCAGTTTTCCCCTTTTCGCTCCTGAAAAAGTGTTTGTAAGCTCAAAATGCAGGTTAAATGGTTTGACTTTACCATTATGTCAAGCAATAGATTCCTTGTGCTGCCCCTAATATGTAACTTCTTCTGTCTCAGAGGCTCTGAAAGCCAAGGAGGTATCACTGTCATTTCTCATCAACAGGGCAGCAGGTTACCAAACCAAACCTCATCCTCAAGTTGGAGGTAGAAGAATGCCCGGCAGAAGGAAAAATCCCATTTTGGAACTTTCCAGGTAAGTGGAATTTTGACCCAGGCTCTGAGGACATGAAGTTCCACCCTGTTAGTCAGAGGTGAGGCCCTCTGACAGGGCTTTCAGGAATATCTTAGGAAAAGGTTCTGGCCCTTGGCACTGTTGGAGGACAGGAACATGAACACCTCAGACACAAAACTGACACTCCCGCTGTCCCCCGTACACCAGGCCACTCTCCGTAAGTTGGTGCTTACCTGCAAGTTTCTGCACAGTTCCTTTTGTCCCATATGGAAGTGTCTTTTAAATGCCACAATCTCCTGGCCCTGCCACTTCCACGACTGTCACCTGTCACTGACTTATCTGAAGCCAGGCCCACGTTAGTCACAGGCCTGGACTCTAATGTGCTAATTTCAGATTGAACAACCTGAGTCCAGTCTTCTCGTTCAGTTTAGATATTTGTCAGATTTGCTCTCCTAAAACATCTTGGTTATCTATTTTTTAAAAGTAGCTTTATTGAGATAAAATTCACATACCATAAAATTCACCCTTTTAAAGTATACAATTCAGTAGTTTTTAGTGTATTCACAGAGTTGTGCAACTATCACCACTACCTAATTCTAGAAGATGTTCATCACACTGAAAAGAAGCCCCTACTCCCTAGCAGTCACTCTCTCTTCCCTCTTCCCCTCACTCCCTGGCAACCACTGATCTATTTTGTCTCTATGGTTTTGCCTATTCTGGACATTTTATTTAAATGGAGTCAGACAAAATGTGGCCTTTTATGTCTGGTTTCTTTCACTTGGTGTGTTTTCAAGGTTCATCCACATTGCACCATGTATCAGTACTTCATTCCTTTGTATGGAGGAATAAAATTCCATTGTTAGGATAGAACACATTTTGTTTGTCCATTCATCAGTTGATGGACATTTTGCTTGTTTCTACTTTTTGGTTATTATGGATGATGGTGCTGTGTACGTTGATGTACACATTTTTGTGGTGATACATGTTTTTCTTTCTTTTGGGTAGATACATAGGATTGGAATTATACCATATGGTGGTATAAAAGGAACTGTATGTTTAACTTTTTTTTTTTTTTTTTAGAGACGGAGTCTTGCTCTGTCACCCAGGCTGCAGTGCAGTGGTGCAATCTTGGCTCACTGCAGCCTCTGCCTCCCAGGTTCAAGCAATTCTCCTGCATCAGCCTCCCGAGTAGCTGGGACTACAGGTGTGTGTCACCACGCCAAGCTAAATTTTTGTATTTTTAGTAGAGATGGGGTTTCACTGTGTTGGCCAGGATGGTCTCGATCTCCTGATGTTGTGATCCGCCTGCCTTGGCCTCCCAAAGTGCTGGGATTACAGGCGTGAGCCACTGCACCTGGCCCCACTGGAATAATTCTATAAAGAGAAATTGCTTCTCATCTATTATTTGGCTACCATGAGTTACGTATCATTCAGAAAAGACAGGCTCAGTGATTGAGCTTTTCCATTTATTTACTAGTTTTCAAAATAATGAATTGATTTTGTAGCATCATCCAAAGGTGACCAATAAGTTATATCTTTTTTGTGAATCATTTATGGACTTATGGGTGTATACATTTCTATGTTTTAATCCATTGTCTTATTTTCCGTATTATACATTACACTGTCCCATCTTTGGCCGGTGGAATCTCCTTCAAGTTGGCTCCTGAGTCTTTGGTAGCTTCCTTGCTTTCTGGTGTTACAACATGTCCCAGGCTCCATTTGTATATTTCCTGCCTCTGACCTAGAATTGGTGATTTCTCCAAGGGACCCTGGCTCTTTTTAGTGGAAAATAATGTTTTAAGCCCATGATTTAGAGGTTAGAGAATTGTTTCGAGGCCTTTTCATTGACAGAGCTAGGAACTATTATGTATAAATGTTTTACAGAAAACATATCTCATGTGTTCAAATTAATATTTCCAAATCAAATTTTGGGCTTAAATGTTTTTAATTTATTAATCTTACATCTGACAGTAGTATTGTTAGTATTCTTCTTGAGACTGTTGCTTGTGTATAGCGAGTTGAATGAATTGAGGTAATCATTTCGGTGCCATTGAGAATCAAGACTTTTCAGCATGGTCATTAGCAAATGCAGCAGAAAGAATATTTACTATTATTAAGGAATCTTTTATGTTCAGTTTTGCTTTATGATTATATAAAATAGTTACAAAAGATTTACTTGGTTCCAAAATCAATACAGAAAACAAGGTATATTCAGAAAAGTCCACCTTCTTTCCCTTTCCATTCCATTCCCTTCCTTCCTTCCTCATAGGTAATCTTTATTAAAATTTAAAGGTTTATTCTTCCATCATTTTTTACAACATGAACCTGTAGGAATATATATTTATTCATTTTCTACTATGCACAGTGTTTTAAACATTTTTAAAAGTTTTACTTTTAGTTGACACATAATTGTACATATTTATGGAGTATGGTGTGATGTTTTGATACATATATACAGTGTGTCATGATGAAATTTGGGTAGTTAGTATATTCATCACATCAAACATTTGTTTCTTTGTGGTGAGAACATTCAAAATCTTTTCTTTTAGCTATTTTGAAAGATACACTATATTATTGTTAACTATAGACACCCTGCTGTGCAATGTAACACTGAAACTTATTCCTCCTATCTAACTATATCTTTGCACCCATTTACCAACCTTTCCCTATCCTCTCTTCCCCTCTTCACCTCCCAGTGTCTGGTCACTATTCTGCTCTCTACTTCTATGAGATCAACTCCTTTAGCTCCCATATATGAGTGAGATCATGCAGTGTTTGTCTTTCTGTGCCTTGCTTATTTCACTTAACATAATGTCCTCCAGGCTTATCCATGTAGCTGCAAATAACAATATTTAATTCCTTCTTATGGCTGAACAGTATTCCACTGTGTAAACAGATGACATTTTCTTTATCCATTGATATTCCTTGATGGACACTTAGGTTTGATTCCATGTCTTCTAACACCTTTCTTGCTTCCTTCAAACCTCCACTCCAAGTTGTTTTTCCCTCTTTTAGCAAATGATCTCATCTCATTCCTTGCTGTAAAAGAAGCAAAGTGATGAAACTAATACCATATCATAACACACAAACACACACACATACACCACACACCACACTTTAAAAACCCTTCAGCTTCCCTGTCCTATGGCTCAAAATAACCTCCAGCATCACCCAGTTTTTCCCTTTGTTTCCTGCCTCAAGTAACAGTGTATGCACAGTTTTATTCACCATTTTTCACTTAATATTCTATAACATGTTAAATATATAAAGATACTCTTTCTTTTTACATTAATGTAGTGATTCTTAAAAATCATAATAGTAGTAGTTGTAATAGTAACAGTGGTGGTAAACAATTTAAAGTACTTCCTGTGTACCCTGCAAGCCCTGTTGTAAGTAATTTAATTCTCTCAACATCCATTTGGGTGGGCACTGTTACAATTCCTTTATGGGTGGGGAAGTAAGATACAAATAGTTTAGATCACTTGCCTGAGGTCACAGACCAAGTGAAAGGTTGAACCAGGATTTTCTCCTGGGCTAGAGAGCCCAGGACCCTAACCACATGAGCCATACTGCTTCTTACCACCTAGGAAGGTTCAGATTCAGCAGATCTTTGGTGGAGCTTGGGTCCCATGGAGAGCATTTTGTAAAAAGTTCTTCATATGATTTTGTGTTCATCTCTGGCTAAGAACTAATGCTTAGCTAGCCATAGAAAGGAAGTCACAGGAAGAAAAATCACAGCTGCACAATCCTTGTTAAAATTCAGGATCACTGTAGCAAAACGTTAACATTATTGAATCTAAGTGGTAATATGAATAGTTATTGTACTCTTTCAACTTTTTCTATGCTTGAAAATTTTCATATAAAAATTTGGGGAAAGGTAAGAAGAAAAGTAAACTGTAAAAAAAGATTAAAAACTCACCATATGTACAAAAAGTACTTGCCATAGATTTAAAGACATACCACTAAGAAAGAAAAATTGCCACCAATTAACCTATGACGTTGATTGTAAGGTGCATCTGAATTCAGAGATGTTAAAATGTGAAATAGGCCGGGCGCGGTGGCTCAAGCCTGTAATCCCAGCACTTTGGGAGGCCGAGGCGGGTGGATCACAAGGTCAGGAGATCGAGACTATCCTGGCTAACATGGTGAAACCCCGTCTCTACTAAAAATACAAAAAACTAGCCGGGCGTGGTAGCGGGCGCCTGTAGTCCCAGCTACTTGGGAGGCTGAGGCGGGAGAATGGCGTGAACCCGGGGGGCGGAGCTTGCAGTGAGCCGAGATCGCGCCACTGCACTCCAGCCTGGGAGACACAGTGAGACTCCGTCTCAAAAAAAAAAAAAAAAAAAAAAATGTGAAATAATGTGCTGCTTGCAATTGATGAAATGAAATTAAGGGCAAGGCTTTGCAATTTTAACTGTTTAAATGAGTGATACAGATGACTGACTACTTTAGAAGTTAATAAAAATTTAAGTTATATAGGAAGATCAGAGTAAGCTTTTTAGAAAAGACTGACCTGCCTCTTGAAAGTTATCTAGATTCTGAATATAGCAAAATACAGAACACAGGGCTATGTGGGTGATGGAACATAAAGAAGGGTTTGGAGTACAGAATAGGCAGAGGTTTTAGTGGAAATAGTATAGACAGGAGCAGAGAAGGTGGTGTTGAAGAACTGTGAATGGAAGCTTTGATGGATACACAGGTGAACCCAGATTGGGCAAATATTTTTAGCTTTTTGTTTCTGTCAAGCTAATCATTCTATATTTTTCTTTCATTCATTGAGAATGTGGATTTGGTGTTACTGTTGTAAGACATGAGTCTGAGAATCATGCTGTTGCATTTCCACCTAGACAGAAATTCTGTAAGTCAGGTACAGTTAAGACTTCATATAATACTGGCCAGGTGTGGTGGCTCGTGCCTGTAATCCCAGCACTTTGGGAGGCTGAGGCGGGAGGATTGCTTGAGACCAGGAGTTTGAGACCAGCCTGGGCAACATAGTGAGACCTTGTCTCTACAAAAAATACAAAAATTAGCCAGATGTGGTGGCTCGTGCTTGCAGTCCCAGCTACTCAGGAGGCTGAGGTGGGAGGACTGCTTGAGCTCAGGTGGTCAAGGCTGCAGTGAGCTGTGATTTTGCCCCTAAACTCCAGCCTGGCAACAGACCTGAGATCCTGTCTTTAAAAAAAAAAAAAGTTTATATGATAACTGAAGATTAAGGGTATAAGTTTCCCAGAGTTAATGGAAGTCAGGTGTGATGTGTAAATACAGGTAAGAAAGACTGAGGTGTCAGGGTAAGATTGTTCTTGGTAACAAAAAGACCAGCAGGTGGGAGTTTAGTAAAAACTCTCTCTCCAGGAACTCTGATAAAATGAGATGATAGTATCAGCTTTCATATGGCAGAATAATTCTAAAGAAGGTCCGTTCCATAATGTCAAAGCATAAAGGTGGTTTATTGTACTTCTTTCTAGAAGTCTGTCAAGTTGATGAACAGATTGAGAGGCAACATCAGGATGACCAAGATAAACGTCTGCTGATGCAAGTTGGATTTTCTGACAAGAAAACAATTACCACCAAGAGCGGTCGTGACTGTCATGAGTTTGGAAACATACTTCATTTGAGTACAAACCTTGTTGCTTCAATACAAAGACCTGATAAACACGAATCATTTGGAAATAATATGGTAGATAATTTAGACTTATTTAGTAGACGTTCTGCAGAAAATAAATATGATAATGGATGTGCAAAATTATTCTTCCATACTGAGTATGAGAAAACAAATCCTGGAGTGAAGCCCTATGGCTATAAAGAGTGTGGGAAAGGTCTTAGGCGAAAGAAAGGCCTTAGTCTACATCAGAGAATTAAAAATGGAGAGAAACCCTTTGAATGTACTGCATGTAGGAAAACCTTCAGCAAGAAGTCACACCTCATTGTACATTGGAGAACTCATACAGGAGAGAAACCTTTTGGATGTACCGAATGTGGAAAAGCCTTTAGCCAAAAATCTCAGCTCATTATACACTTGCGAACTCATACAGGAGAGAGACCCTTTGAGTGTCCTGAATGTGGAAAAGCCTTCAGAGAAAAGTCAACTGTCATCATACATTACAGGACTCACACAGGAGAGAAACCTTATGAATGTAATGAATGTGGAAAAGCCTTCACTCAGAAGTCCAATCTCATTGTCCATCAGAAAACCCACACTGGAGAGAAAACCTATGAATGCACTAAATGTGGAGAATCTTTCATACAGAAGCTTGATCTAATTATACATCATAGTACCCATACAGGAAAGAAACCCCATGAATGTAATGAGTGTAAGAAAACTTTCAGTGATAAGTCAACTCTCATTATACACCAGAGAACTCATACAGGAGAGAAACCTCATAAATGTACTGAATGTGGGAAGTCTTTCAATGAGAAGTCAACCCTCATTGTGCATCAAAGAACTCATACAGGAGAGAAACCCTATGAATGTGATGTGTGTGGGAAAACCTTCACGCAAAAGTCAAACCTTGGTGTACATCAGAGAACTCATTCAGGAGAGAAACCCTTTGAATGTAATGAATGTGAGAAAGCCTTCTCTCAGAAGTCCTACCTCATGCTACATCAGAGAGGTCATACAGGAGAGAAACCTTATGAGTGCAATGAATGTGAAAAAGCATTTTCACAGAAATCATATCTCATTATCCATCAAAGAACTCATACAGAAGAAAAACCCTATAAATGTAATGAATGTGGCAAAGCCTTCAGAGAAAAGTCAAAGCTCATTATACATCAGAGAATCCATACAGGAGAGAAACCCTATGAATGTCCTGTGTGTTGGAAAGCTTTTAGCCAGAAGTCACAGCTCATAATACATCAGAGAACGCACACAGGAGAGAAACCCTATGCATGCGCTGAGTGTGGCAAAGCCTTCCGAGAAAAGTCAACATTCACTGTGCATCAAAGAACTCATACTGGAGAGAAACCCTATAAATGTACGGAATGTGGGAAAGCCTTTACCCAAAAATCAAACCTTATTGTACATCAACGAACCCATACAGGAAAGAAAGCCCATGGAAGAGGCCACACTCGGAAGTCAAAGTTCATGGCACATTAGAGAGCTAATCAACAGTATATATTATGGACATTGAAGGAAAGTTGTGTCAATTTAATTCACATTTGAAAAGTATATTCCGACTTCTGGTTTAAATATGGGAGTAAACTCAGCCTTTCTTTTCATCTCGGTCATAACCCAAAAGCTACGGGAGAAAAAGCAGAAGTGTAATCTCTGTATCTGACAAAATTAGAAGACGGCTGCAACCCTGATAAGAGGGCTGCCACAGGCAGAGGAAATGAAGCACTGGTGCAGGAGATTTCAGAGTGAGCGTGCTCAAGGCTGCAGATGCGAGACAGCACTGGTAAGGACTCTTAGCTGAGGTTCGGGATATACACCGAGGCATGGAACCATAAATATAACAGTGGTAATAGTGCGTGGGCAGGTAGGAGGTAGGATGTTTCCTAGACCTTTTGGGGTCCGAGGAGAAACAGGCTGGGGCCTCGAGAAGGAGTCACTCAGACAAGCCATATTTGTAGAAAGTAGTCTTCTACTGATGGGAGAAACAGTTATGGGGGTGCTGGGGGAAGAGAAGGGACTTTTCCTTGTGAAGAGCCCCACAGCTGCCCGTTTACTGACTTGGGAGAAGTAAAGTCAGAAAGAACTAACGTGGGGGGAAAAAATCTCAGTTGTCCAAAAAAACTGATCTGCTTGGAATGTGGCCCTGGTTTCTTTTCCCACATGAACCTCCAGCAAATAGCAAGTCCAGGAAAAACTCTTCTCATTCAAAGAGGAATGATTCAAAAGTAATCAAAACCACAAATGCATTTGGTTTTGGGGCCAGCAATTCCACTTCTAGGAATGTACATACTCACACATGTACAAAATGATGAACATACAGAAGTATTCATTAATGCACTGTTTGTGAAAACAAAAGATTGGAAGCTGTCTAAATGATACCGTATCAGGGTTCTGGTTCCCTAAATTGTGGTATATCCATACAGCCTACTCCTGGGTAGACAACAATGAATAAATAAGGAGAACTAGGATGCCATTTATGTAGTGATGTGGGATAACCTTCAGTTTATGTTATTAGGTAGGAAAAACAAGGTTAAGGACAGTGAGTATAATATGCTGCCATTTGTATATACAAAGGAGAAAAATGATAAGTACATAATTGTGAATTCATAAGTTATCTCTGGAAAGAGACACGAGAACCTGGTAACCCTGATTACGCTGGAAGGGGAGGGAGCAGTGGTGGCTGTGGGGATGGAATTGAGAGGGAGACAACTGTATCCTTTCATAGCTTTTGAAAATGTGGATGTACTATGTACTATGTGGATGTACTACCTTTTCAAAAATAAAACATTTTAAAAGCTATTTTGTTCTACTGTTATAGTAAAGTCACAGTCTAGGTACAGGATTTTATAATATTTAATATAGATATGCTCAATGTAGAGTTTATTTTTTAGTGAATCAATTGAATAACCAAGCAGATAGAACAACAGTTATTCAATCAATTCCATAGGCACATAGGCATTATTCTCCTGAGATTGCCAAATCAAGTGATTCTCAGGTCAGCTGGGACCACTAAAATGATTGAGACTGGAACGTATTTAGTATGTACAGTGACATCTGTGAAAAGATCCTGTACTAAAGCCCACCGAGGACTTTCCATATCTTAACGAAATGATTTTTATTACATCATTCATACAAACGGTTTTTACAAGTGCTGCAAAACACTAATCCATAGAGAGGTTGAATAACTTGCTCCTCTAAGGTCGCACTAGTGCTGGTGATACATATTTTCTAAGGTGAGAGACAGATTGAGAGTGATGGTCTGAATGGACATAGCCAAAGACCACATAACAGGACGTTTGCTTCAGAACAAGCGGTCCTGCTTGTGAATTACGGTATTTGTGGCCCTCATGGTTCTGTGGCTTTTCACTGGGGCCATCTCTTTGCTGGAACTGGACAACTTAAGCTATGAAAAACTAGGGATGGGCAATGTTTGGATTTATCAAAACGGGTGGGTGAGTTAGACCTGAGACCCTGCCTGTGCCCTTCCAGGCCTTCTTTTTTCCCTGAGTAATACTGCAAGGAAACAAGCCGTGGGCTCACTTTATGAACTATGTAAAGTAAACATGTCACATTCAGTGCCTTTCCAGGGAGAGGAAATGTGGGGCAGACTGGCTTGCTCCTGGTACAGTCTCCTTGAAAGATGCCCAAGGGCACTGGAAATAAAGCTATTTTGCCTTTCTACTTACAGAGAATCTTCCTAGGGTTTCAGGTCCATTGAAGGTCATCCTGTAGTGGGGTGGGAGTGAGGGTTAGATCTCACCATTTCAGGTAGATCTTGGACTCCTGCTTCCTGGAACACAAATGGCAAGCTGATGGGCCACATGTGGGTGAATGGAGGTGAGTGAAGCAAAGACGGGGATGGATGGAGATGAACATCAGCATGTGAATAAAAGGATTGGGATTGGAGGAAGAGAGGAGGGTAACGAAGGGCAAAGTGGGAAGTGAATGGAGTAAAGAGGGGCAGAAGGGTGGTGAACAGGGAAGAGTAGGGTGAAATGGGGGAAATATCCAGTGGTGTGAGTTACTGGAGAAGAAACAGTTGAGTGTAAGTAAACATGAGTAGTGTTGGGGAGAGAAGGAGGGAGTAGAGTGGCAGTGAGTGAGTGGAGAGTGGAGGAAATTGGGAGTGATATGAGGCACAGTGTAAATGACAGTGGTTAATGGTGTTGGGTGAAGAGCAGTGCAGGAAAGTGGCAAAGCATGGCATGACACTAATGAGTGAAGAGGGGAAGAACCCCGGGCAGTCAAGGTGGGAAGACTGTGCTGGAATGGGAGGCACTCTGGGGTGAGTGATGGGGATCTATGGTGTCAGAGGTTATAGGGTCTTGGGGTCTTAGTGATGCATGACCTTGCGTTGTTGGCGATGGGGAGTTGGGTGGAGGTGGGAGGTGATCCCTGGGGTTTCTGCACAACGAGGAGCTGCGCTGAAGACCCTGCAGTGACCACAGGTGTATGGGATGGGATCAGCCTGTGTTCTGGACACAGTGCTCAATGAATGTCACTTCTGTGTTCCATCCCTGATGTCGTTTGGATCTGTGTCCCCATCCAAATCTCATGTCGAATTGTAATCCCATGTTGGAGGAGGGGTCTGATGGAAGGTGATTGGATGTTGGGGGTGGAGTTCTCATGTATGGTTTAGCACCATCCCGCCTTAGTACCATATAGTTAGTGACTTCTGATGAGATCTGATTGTGTAAACGTGTATAGCACCTTCTTCCTTTCTTCCTCCTGCTCCTGCCATGTAAGATGCCTGCTCCCTCTTTGCCTTCTGCCATGAGTAAAAGCTCCCTCGGGCCTCCCTGGAAGCAGATGCTTCCATGCTTCCTGTACAGCCTGCAGGACAGTAAGCCAACTTAACCTTTTTTCTTTATAAATTACCCAGTCTCAGGTATTTTAGCAGTGTGAGAACAGACTAATACAATTTCCTTGCCATTGTGACTTATATATACTCAGAGGGGGAGAGGACCCACTGCAAAAGGTGTCCCTGATACCTCCCCCATACCAGCTCTGTTGTGCCCCCTCGGCCAGCCCTAAGCCCCACCCCCACGTTATTTATGCCGGTTACTTAATTTGTCTTACTGCTTTAGATAAAATGTCTAAAATAAAATTAATTATGGTCCTTCTTCACCTTATTCTTAGGGCTCCCGAAACTATCCTGGTTTCCTAAGATCAGCCCTGTGACCCTCGATTGGCCCTATAACCACCCAGATCAATACTGGGCCCCCAATATTTTAGCCAATTATTTCATATTATTGTCCTGTTTCTTTAGGTAAACTCCAAACTGTGAATTATGATCCCTTCCCACTTTATCCTTTGGGCTCTGTTAATGTGAGAAATTCCCTTGATACAGTGATAGTGTTCAATATGTGACCAGGCAAGCTACCCTAGAAGTCTCAGAATAGAAAGGCTCACAGACCAAATTAAAATGCTTGAGTCAGGCCGGGCATGGTGGCTCACGCCTGTAATCCTGGCACTTTGGGAGGCCAAGGCAGGTGGATTGCTTGAAGTCAGGAGTTCAAGACCAGCCTGGCCAACATGGTGAAACCCCGTCTCTACTAAAAATACGAAAGTTAGCTAGGCGTGGTGGCACATGCCTGTAGTCCCAGCTACTTGGGAGGCTGAGGCAGGAGAATTGCTTGAACCCAGGAGGTGGAGGTTGCAGTGAGCCAAGATTGCCCCCAGCCTGGGTGACACAGTGAGACTGCCTTAAAATAAAATAAAATAAAATAAAATTGTTGAGTCACATGGCTTATTAAATCAATTTTTTTGAAAAATGCAAATATGTATACATATATAAATATCCATATATACACATATCCACATATATGTATACATATATGTGGACATGTATACATATATATGTGTATATATACGTATAGGACAGATATGTGTGTATATATACACATGAAGAAGCAAAGAGATGGAGTAAGTTAACAGACTTAGGGTACAAACAGGGTGAAGGATTACATTTCCTGAGTCCTGTGTTATGGAATGTTCATAGACCTTGCCTCTGTCTCTGTCTGTCTCTGTTCCATCAGCCTTATTGGTTACAAGGACCAGAGTTGAGGTTTGAAAAAGGGCCCCAATCAGACTGAAGGTGCTCAAGGTCAATGACATACCTTGCTTACCTCAGCTTATAGCTTACCAATTAGCCTGAACAGTGATGGGTTTTATCTGTGTTCAATGGAACAGTACTGAGTGTCACCAGTTGGTGGTTAATTTAAGTATAATATAACCAAGGTGGTAGGATACCTTATGAGTTGGTGTTCCTGTCCCTTTCTATCTATAAGTAATATACTCATTTGTTCTATCATATTCTATGTATTCCATTTATCTTTAGTACGTCTTACAAGTTGCTTGCTTGGTAACTATAACACATCTTATGAATTTTGCCTGTCTAAAAGCTACTTGTTTACTTATCTATACTTTACACATCCTATGCATTTTCTTCATGTCTCATAAGTGTCTAGCTTACTATATATGCTTGGCACTTCTTGTGAATTTCCTCCTTCACATTTGTTTTCATGACCTCTAGAGGACAAACAATAGCAAAAATCAAAGCTAGTTCTCTGAAAAGATTAATATATGCAAGAAACTCTAGACTGATCAACAAATAAAATACAAAATTTCAAATGTCCATGATAAATATCCATCACTACAGATTCTACAAACATTAAAAGGACAGGGAATTATGGAAAATATGCCAATAAATTTAAAAAGTCAATGTAATTAATAATAGGTTATATGATCTTTCTTAGAGATCATATAACCTATTATTTTGATGATATTGTGTTGAATGTATATGAATATATGAATTCATATATTCATAATAAATTATATGATCTATTACTAATTTCTCTAAAGAGAAAGGGATTTGAGAAAATTCAACACAGTATAAATTCTTAGCAAACTAGAAATAGAAGAGAACTTCCTTAGCCTGATGAAGGGTGTGTTTAAAAGAAGCATGGCAAAACTTAATGGTAACATGGAAAATATTTCCTCCTGAGATTGGGAATGAGACAAGGACACCTGGTATGCTCACTTCTAATCAACATTGTACTGGAGGTCGGAGGCAGTGCATTAACGCAAGAAAAAGAAAAGGAGTAATGACTGGAAGTGAATAAATAAGGCTTTCAATTTCTGCAGATGATGTGTACATAGAAAAATCCAAAGTATCTATAGATAAATTGTTAGAATTAATAAGTGAATTTAGCAAAGTTGCTAAATATAAGCTCAAACTATAGAAATTGTTTTTCTTTGCATCAGCAACAAACAACTAGAAAACAAAGACACCCGATATGGTTTGGATTTATGTCCCCACCCAAATCTCATGTCAAATTGTGATCCCCAGTGTTGGAGGAGGGACCTGGTGGGAGCTGATTGGATCATGGGAGTGGATTTCCCCCTTGCTGTTCTTGTGATAGTGAGTGAAGTCTCGTGAGATCTGGTTGTTTAAAAGTGTGTAGCACCTCTGCCTGTTCTCTATTCCTCCTGCTCCAGCCATATAAGATGTGCCTCTTTCCTCTTCACCCTCTGCCATGATTGTAGGTTTCCTGAGGCTTCCCCAGCCATGCTTCTTGTACAGCCTGTGGAACTGTGAGTCGATTAAACCTCTTTCCTTTTTTTTTTTTTTTTTTTTTTTTTTGAGACGGAGTCTCGGTCTGTCGCCCGGGCTGGAGTGCAGTGGCACGATCTCGGCTCACCGCAAGCTCTGCCTCCCGGGTTCACGCCATTCTCCTGCCTCAGCCTCCCAAGTAGCTGGGACTACAGACACCCGCCACCTCGCCCGGCTAGTTTTT